CCCCCCCCCCCCTTCCCGCCCCCCGGATCCCCCCCGGCGCTGTCCGAGGTGCTGTCGGGGAAGGGGGGCGCCGCGGCCGCCCGAAGGCTCCCACCCCCTCCGCCCTCCCCTCGCCCTCCCCGTTGATTTCTGGATCATTAAGTGGTTAAGGCGCTGCGGAGCCCTCACTATCGATCGCTGCCTCCCCACCACCGGCTGGCAGCCCCCAGCCCCGCGGCTCCGGGCAAGGGTGGGGTGGCCGGGAAGGGGCCCCGGGTGAGGTTGGGGTCCGTCCCCCCCCCCTCCCCACCCCCTCGGCGGCCAAAGTTTGACTCTGCCTCCCTCTCCCCCCTCTCCTGTCTGTCTGTCTGAGTGCAGCTGGGCGCGATGCTGAAGACGGAGCAGCCCTGGATGTAACACGCGGCGCCTTAGAGAGCCCTGCAGCAATTGTTGCCCGGATCTCAAGCTGAACTTCGCTCTATTTTTTTTTTTTTTTTTTCCTTTTTAGATTTTTTTTTCCTTTTTTTTTTTTTTTTTTTTTTTTTTTCCCTTTCTCTTTTTGTTGTTGTCGTCGCCGTTATTGTTAATTACCAACCCGCTTCCGCCGCGCCCTCCCCGCCAATGCCTGTGTGAGCGCCGGCACCTCGCGGGGGCCATGGAGGGCTCCACCGGCTTCGGGATCGACTCCATCCTCTCGCACCGAGCCGGCAGCCCGGCCGTGCCCAAGGGGGACCCGCTGGTGGGCGACGGCCGCTCCCCGCTGGAGCTGAGCCCCCGCTCGGAGGGCAGCAGCGGGTGCCCCTCTCCGCGTTCCCCGGAGGCGGCGGTGCGGCCGGGCCTGGACGCTCACCTGCAGCCGGGGCAGCTCTCGGCTCCCTCCCAGTCCCGAACCGTCACCTCCTCCTTCCTCATCAGAGACATCCTGGCCGACTGCAAACCCCTGGCCGCCTGCGCGCCTTACTCCAGCACCAATGGACCTCACGGCGGGCAGGAGGCGGCGGGCAGGATCCCCACCAAACCCGGAGAGGACTTTAGGGAGAAAATGGAAAAAACCACCAGCAGCTCCTCCTCGGACTCCGAGTACAAAGGTAAGAGCAGCGCAGCCTTTTGCGGGGCCCCGGAGATAAAAGGGTGGGGGGAACCGGGGTACCCCCGAAATTCGAGCGGCACCAACTTGGGGAAACTTCGGGAGGGAACGACGGGGCCGTGCGCGGCGCGGGGCCGGGGGCGCCCGGGGGCTGCACAGCGCCAGGTTCCGCGGACAGAATTCGGTTCTTTCGTTCCTATCCGCGGGGAGAAAGGAAGGGAGAACCGCCAGGGGAAAAAAAAAAAAAAAAAAAAAGCGAGGAAAATACAAGAAAAGAAATAATAATGCTAAATGAAATAATCACGGGTTTTGCCGGGTATTTCCCCTGCTCCGGTAAGAAACGAATAAGAAAAGCCGGCGAGGTTGGATCCGATTTGTATTATCGGTGTTACTCCCGGTGTTGTTTTGGAGATGGTTCGGAAAGGAGCACGGCAGCCCCAGGGCTGCGGGGAAGCGGCTGCGGCCTCTCGGGCCCCCACAGCCTCCGCCCGGGCCGGGAGGAACGGGAGCAGCACGGGGGGGG